CTCTCTCTCTCTCTCTCTCTCTCTCTCTCTCTCTCTCTCTCTCTCTATACATATGTGTGTGTGGCTACCGAACCGACGTTAGGCACTAGGAATTTTCGTGCATGTGAATTGCAATTGGTTTGGTTTAAATTGCAAAACGTTTCAATTCAATTTTCAATTAAGCCCCTTTGCACCAATCTCTTGATGCGCCCCACCTACCTGAAATGATGTCGTAAATGCTGATACAATTTCATATACGATCTCCCATGGATGGCCGGGTTCCGGTTTGAATGGTGTCAATACATACTGCATACCCAATAACGGCACTAACAATAACGTCGCCCTGAATACAATGAAAAGAGAGATGAAAGGAAACAAACGAAAAATGGGAGAGAGATAGAGATACAAAAAAACGCAAACATGATATGGAAGACAATGAACAAACAAAATACAACAAAACATTTGATGAATGCAATCAGGATCCAAATCAATGAATTTGCATCGATGTGAATACATCGCAACTGAATTAAACACAGTATCCAACTGATATTGTTAATGTGTAAAATGCAGGCTCGCATCTCTTCACACACACACACACACACTCATAGACACAGTGATTGTGCATGTGCAAATAGGAGTTGATGTAAAAATAATGCGGTGCTCTTGATCAAAATAGATGCTGATTGAGGATTATGGGATGAAAATGACAACAGAAGTGGAAGAGAATGTGAAAAAAACGAGATAGTGCAACGCATTCTCTTTTTTTTACCGAAACGCTTGCAGTATATTCCGTGATGGTGCTCCACCTTGTGGCCCGGCTGGCGCTCGTAATTTCATGAATAGCACGCGAACGATGTTGCACAGAAACAGCAGATTCATCATCATTGATAAACAAACGGGTGCAACAAGTATGTTCGTATATGGTGTCTCGTTCATCCAACAGCTGAGTGACGGAGAGGAGCGGAGAAAGTATGAGCGAACGGAATGGATAATGATGGGAGAGAGAGAGAGAGAACGTGCGTTTGCATTTGGTTACATGCCGGCAAACACAGAAGCAATTGCGGTTCGAGTTTTAATCCATTGTCAAAAGCCATTGAATGACGATGCAAGCGACGTTAGTTATTCATCCCCAAACGAAATCCCATTAACAAGAGGCCATAAAAGATTTCAAGCAGCGACGACACAGCATCAGCAACAGAATCATCATCAGCATCAGCAGCAGCAGCAGCAGCAGTATCAATAAAACGATAAGCAACAAGAAAACCGGAAAATTAATTAGAACAAAAATCACAACAACAACAAAACACTGTCACATCTCTAGATTACAGTATGTTGATCTAATTGTCATAAAATCCACACATAAATTTATTTGTTTCCAATTTTGAATTATCAAAACGGAGATTTCGCTTGATTAAGTCACTTAGAATTATAACATTGAGAATTATTATAAAATATGCGTATATATTTTGGAAAGCTTCTTGGAAACAGTTGAAAAGTTGCACATTGAATGTTCTTAGCTCGGCTCCGGGTTGCTTTTTCAGTACTGCAAAAAAATCAGGCAGATTTCATCTCCGGACATTCTATGCACAGACAGACACATTCACACAAAATGATTAAAACAAAATGCCCTTTTGTTTTGCGCCAGCGATAATATTAATTACAAAAACATCGTTTATTTCTCTATTTAATCGCAGTTTTGCTTCTTTTCCCCGCAAATTTCTGCTAAATGTCGGTGGCGTTTGCGCGCGCTCCATAAATCATTTTACACGAGTTAATTTTCTATTTTTTTTTAAATAATTTCTGGTTCGTATTTTTAAACTCATTATATGCGATGGGGATTTTATGTTAAAAAAGGCTTTGAATAAAACGGTGTATATCCATCAAATAAACGGAATATTATGCGCGATGGTTTAAACTTTTAATTTCTTTTGTCTTTCTTCGTTTGTTTGGATATCAGAAACGCGACGATTTTCTCAAATGAACGGATTACTTAATTGGGTGTGAAAACAATATCAACATCGTTTTGTTTGCACTTTTTAGAAAATTTTAATTGAAAATTTAGATTCATTAGATGCTCGATGAAAAATTTCTGAGTGACAAACAGACGGGCGTTGTCACTCAACTGAGAGATATCTCAATCTCTTTTGGTTTCACAAGATTTCTGTATTCATATTTCCTCATTGTTCCTCATCAAAGAATTTATTACCGCATGACTTTGTAGTAACAATAAAATAAAATTGCATCATTTTATTTTTTTCATTAACGACATTGTTTTAATTGGATGCAGAGACGAAGAGAGAGAGGGTGAAAAATTGTACGCGACTGATACTAGTTCTATATATAGCTCTGTGCACCTATTATAATTTAATGGTCAATTAAAAATCAGACAGTTTAATTTCTTGCTTATTACTTACTGCATGTTCTGTTTTTCAGTGCCACGAAGACCGCGAGATGTGCCATATGATAGTAGTATGAATGCCGGTGCAATCCATCCGAATGCCATTAACCATTTCACCAACCGATGCTCCGATATAAATGCTGATACGAGTACTGTGTGCAAATAAAAACCCTCGCACAGCATCCAAGCATAGTTGCTCAGCAGGAAGTAATGAAGTACCAAATGCAAAATAACACAACCCGTCTGAAAACAAACCGATACAAGAGAGAAAGACAAAAAGAGGGAGAGAAAGTGAAAATGTGTAGACGAGACATGCGAATGCGAGCGCGAGCGTACGCAACGTGCACACATATGTGTGTGTTAATTTTAACCATTAATTTAACCTCACTTCAGGTGTGTGTGAGAGAGTAGAATTTCAAATTGCTGAGATAAATTCAAACGAAAAACCGCACTGTTATGAAATTAGTCACGAACAAACAAACTGCATGAGTTAACATTAAAATTGTATTAACATTCAATATTTTTTTAAGCATTGATTCCATCTACTCATTTATTCATTTGCTCAATCACCCTCTCATCCCACATACTCTCGAAATCAGATGAAAATCCGAGAAAATCTCAAACACACACACACACATATCATTTATCAATCTGTCATTGGCGTTGAATTGCAATTAAATATAGTACTTTTTCCAATTGGTAACTCATCGACAATGACAGCACACTGTTGGCCTGTTAGGCAACGAAAAAAGTGTGCATTTTCTATCCCACCCTTCCAACCTCTCCACTTTAAATCAACAGTTCAACAGCATTTGTGTTGAATGATGTTTGCCGTTTTGTTTTCATCAATTAGAGTAGTTTATTGTTGTCGACAGCATACCGTATCGTTTTATCTTTCGCATGGTGCGTATAAATGGCACAAAAACAATGCTAAACTGTTGCGATGCATAGTTGACGGTGAACTGTTTCGGGGCAAGTTTAAGCACCTCATTCAATTTCAAGCAACGTGTGAGTTCATCTCATTCAGTGGATTCAGATAACATCAGATAAGATATTGTTGAAGATTACAATACACTTTAATATTTGCAACAGGATTATCGTCAGATCAAAGTGGAGCAGAAAAAGGCTTAAGCATTTTAAAGAGTGAATCAGGTTTATACTTGGCCGTTCTTCACGCCAGTTTAGCAGCAAAACGTTTTTTTTTCTTTCATTTTCTTCTGCTTTGGAAAAAATGTGGGGAGATTTTTGCGTTTGCTTGGCACAGTTCTCGTTGCTCACGGAACAACACTTCAGTAAAATCAAGCGGCATCGACTTTTGTATTGATTCAATATGAGATTGAGGGAAAAAATTGTACGAGCCTCCAACAGTCATTCCAGAACATTTCCAATTGAATGCACACACACATATTAAAGCTTGACACTTTGACTAACAGCAAATAAGTGCCATTAAGACAAACCACTTTGAAATCCTCCCCTCACTTCTTGTCGTATTTGTCGCTACCATTTGTCGATGAAGAAAAAAAATTGTATTTTTCAACTTGTATACACAACAACAACTTATAATGTGACACACATTTTAAGTGCATGATTATTGGTGTTGTCACTTCCGATTTTATTTCGGTTTTCATCTTCAAAATAGCAAAATTTCTGTCCTCTGAGGTGCCTCTGGGAATAAAACAGGATGATAATTTGATTTTCTAAAATCATAAAAATTACAGATTTTATGTGGGCAAACATTTTATGATGAAAATCGTATTTTTCCTCTGCGAAAGCAGTCCCAGTTGGTTATGACCTCAGATGTTATGCTTTTCGTGTCCAGTAATGAGATTTTTTTTGCTCACCACATATTACTTTGTACAATAAAACCATTCTCTCACACAGCATACATTATGTATTATGATAACTAATAATTGGCCATCATCTTCCGAATTCCTATAGATAACCGAAGAAGGCATAAGCGTTCGAACTATCTTATCCACGAATATTGTTTTGAACCTTTGACCTGTACTTTCTCTTCACACAATCTGTTTTCGATGACCTTTCAATGAAATAACTTCGACAAAACGCCGTTCGAATGGCAAAAGCTTTTTTGTCTTTTTAGTCCCATGTTACTGCATTCGAATTAGCAAATTGTTGATTTCCCACAGCGAATAGACCAATATATACATACATACAGATGGAATAGCATCCTCTGTGACAATTCTACTTTGTCTGTAGAGACCATAGATGGGCCTCTCTTGGTTCCACTCACTCAATCGCTCACTCATACATTCAAGATGGAAGTAAAAGCATCGACAATTGTGAAAAATTTGCCTCATTGACGATGACAACAGGGCAAATATAAAGTGCGGCCAACCTGATAAGCGGAAGAGAAAGAGACGAAAACATGATAAAATAATAAATGAATTACCTCATTTTGCTGAATCACATCCGGATCGCCAATAACCATCCGATACCATAGTAACCATAACGAATTATTTGCGGCAAATGAAGCGAATAAGTTCATGTGTATTGTGATTCGGGCACATTTTAATGACCTGAAATCAAGGAAAATGGTAATAAAGTAAGATTTGTTTTTTTATAGGGAGAGAGAGAGAGAGCGAGAGAGAGAGCGAGAGAGAGAGCTATAGGGAGAGAGGAAGACTCTCAAACTTTCTCTATCAAAATGAACGGAACATGATAATTTCTTTATGATTAGTGCTGGAAATTCGATAGATTGGACCATGGGTAAAAAGAGTTTTAGCTTCGATTTCACGATGTCGCATTTTGTTCCGGTAACGTTAAAAATACACTCGCACTCGAAGCGGCAGAGCATTAACGGTAAATACGATATAGACGATTGGACACAAATGTGTTACGATACTATTGATACTCGCCCTAATTTCATCTCTTTCTCTCTCTTTTTTTTGCACGCGCGTGTCTGGGTGCTATCCGAGTCGCAATAGAGACACACACACATTGATTGCTGTGCAAAGTTTTTGAGAGGAATACCAATGCACTATTGAACGAAGAGCAAAAAAGATTCGAATTTATGTGAGATTGAGGGGTGATGACGCCTCGATGAATGCTAATGCTCATTTCGAACATATATTTTATCATCTGGATTTGCAGATATTTGAAAATGCGACGATTCAACATGAATGCGTTTCAAATTACAGCACTCTCTCTCTCTCTTACATATAGACGAGAGTTTTCGGTCCACAAGCTGCGCGGTTTGTCGCCAAATGCGATACGTTGACATTGAAACAGTATCAATATTACATAGCCCAGACAGATAGACATACATACGACATGGTCGACACAGAAACAGAGTCAAGTGATGTGTTTTTAATTCCAAAACCAAAACATCACGGTCACAGTCGATGACACATCAATCGATGGAAAATGGCATTTAAAGCATCCCTAGAGTGGCTGTTAAACGAGAGCAGCCAATTTTGGCGATATCCTATTTCACTTATGTAAATCCAAATCGAAAATATTATACCAAACATTCCCAATTACTCGATTTTGCTTCGGCCGATTCCAACTCTGAGAACAGATGCGCCTCCATTGGGACGGCATCAGGGCGCATGCCAAAATTAGTAATATTTGTGTACATCCAAATTTATTATTTACAAGCTGACGACACTTCAGTACAAAATATCTTTTGAGTGCTTGCCACGAACTCTCCTATCATTTTGTATTGAAATTTCGTTAGTTCATGAGTTCGCCGTAAATTTCGTCAAAACGTGTCGTCACTTTGATTATTTACACGGTGACCGATGAATTGGCTTTGCTTATGATTAAGTTGTGTGTTTTCTTTCTGATCTACGCCAAAATTGCCGATAGTTTGTTTCGATGCGTAATTGATGCGCCATCGAGCCAACTGTTTAAGTACAGCCAGAAAATTGACCCACGCTTACTGCGTAATAAAATGATGAGACAAAAAGGGCAGAAAATGCGTGGCAGAAAAAAAATTTGAGATGAATACCCAAATTATCGTCATTATTATCAACGATTATAACCTAATGGGGACGAAAAACGCATGAAATAAACTGTTTGAATATATTAAGCTCGGGAAATCGTTGCAATCGACGCAAAGAAAGTGCCATTCCAATTGTTATCACACTTTGAGTGAGGACAAATTGTCGATTAAAACCGAAAATAGAGCATGATGCGTCCCAAATGTTCATTTAATAGGACATATCCATGCCACATTTGTGAAGATCTAAATTTGCACGTTTTTCGTTTCCATTCAGTCGGCTCATCGTTTCTGTCGCTTTCTTCCTGTCGTTTTTCTTCTTTATTCGTCTATCTCTGTGTGTTTTTACTTCATGTGTCAAATATTTATCCATCCACTTCGTTTAAACGAACTGAGCAAAAAAAAAACCTCTTTTTGTTTAGATTTCTTTTTCACCATTTAGCTTTCGCCTGTATTTTTTTTCCCATCGCTTCAATGATGTCAAAAATGTTCATTGTTTATGTTCCAGATGCAGACAACTGGAAGCAACAGAACGAGATAAAAAAAAATGAAGTGAAAGTAATAAATATCCTTCAATTTCATTGTCACTCTCCGCTTATACCCCACCTCCAGAAGTAAACTAGTCAAAATATTGTGCATTTATAAACAATCGATGTTCGAATCGAAGAAGCTAATTTGATAAATTGTCGACTACAAACATTCGTATCATATCTTCGTTCGTGTGCAATAAATGAAATGGAAAATTGCTTGACAGTTTCTCTCTCTCTCTCTCTCTCTCTCTCTCTCTCTCTCTCTTTCTCTTGCTTGCGCACACGCTTAGTCGCACGTATCCGTTTTTTTTTCGATTATCGTTACATTCCCTTGTTATTGTCAACAGCGCAACAACAATAAAAAAAAGTCAATGCGAATATGTTACGTTTTTGTAATTCGCATTTATGGCAAATATAGCTTTTTGATAGAGGAATCCGTATTTTGCGACCAAACAATCGCTAATGTTTGCTGCTGTTGCTGATGCCTATAGTATTCCCTTGTCGTTTGATCTGTCCAACAAGTCGAAAAATTCCATCATGTTGATTTGATCGACATCGAAACCCGTGTTTTGTACTTTTCTCTCGGTGTGCGTGTGTGTGTGTGTGTGTGTGGCCATAAACGTACAGTCATTTGATGTGTGCGTGCGTTTGCCCAGTGTTGTACACTTGTTAATTTCTTTATCTCCCGGCATATATCCTTTACAGAATATCCATTTCACCATTTCAGGGCGGGTATGTGAACGGTCTGTCTCTCACTCTCGAATACAATTCGCTACCAAATAATATCTATACAAACAATGACATCGTCGACCGCAGAAAAGATGCCCGAGGATAATTTGAAGAAATATTTTCGTTTCATTCCTTCCATCCATTCATTTCTTCTTCATTTTTTTGTTTTCACTTTCGCTGTTGCTTCGTTTTTCGTTTCCATTTTTAATCTTCAACTTGCTTTCTTGATGTCGCTTAGCCCCGATTTCTTTCGTCGTTTCTTTTTCCTCTTCGTCTCTCGGTTTTGTTATCTGAAGCCTTTTTCTATTATTTTTCTTTCGTTTTGTTGGATTCATCGTTTATTAGATAGAACATCGTTGTCACTGTTCGTACACACTGATGCAATCATAGATGATTGGCACGAGGACGATGACGCAACGAAAGGAAAAAAAACCGTTGGCCAAACGTTTTTCAAACTGACTTAAAATTAAGTGGACAAAATGGATTTCAATACGGAACACATAGCAATGCTTCCAACAATGAACATGATTTTCAAATTATTTTCACACATTCTTGACATTGGGATTGTCCCAAATCGAAAGTTTATTGATAGTGTATGACTGCATGAATAAAAGATCACCGGATTGAATTTGTGGAAAATAATTGTATAAATATGGAAATGATGAATTCGCTGTTTCCAATCAGTCCAAACACCAAAACGTATAAATGGTCTTTAAATGCTTATTGCTGTTGTGGAAATAATGGTTAACCAAGTTTAATAGAGATCATAAATTACCATTTTTTTCTCGTTTGAACTTGAAGTTTTTATACAAAATTTAGTTCACATGGACCGAGAACAACAACAGAACTCAAAATTTTGGGACAATAAGTCGAATTTCATACGTATCAATTTCAAAATAAAATGTCATCATTTAAATAACTTCATCGTCACACTCAATCCGAGTTCAAAATATTACAAACAACATCAAGTGGATATTTTTTTGTAAAGCTCAAAAATTTGATCGCAACTCGTTTGAGTGAATCACGTAGAAATTTTACGGTATAATCCATCGATATCGTGTACATGAATTTTTAGAGGTGGCTATGGAAGTTTACTAATTTTCACCGAAATCAAAGCATACCTCTCCATGAATCAAAGGCAAACCGCACAAAACGTGCCATCTGGCCATCGTAATATATAAAAAAAAGAGCTACTATATATCGATGATGTGGCGCTTTTTCGGAAATTAGAAACAATCATTTGGAATTTTTCTCGTGTGTATTTGTGCTATGTATCCATAATCTGGTAGAATTTGATTTAACAAATCTGAAGAAGCAAAAGAAAAAGAAGACGGGTGAGTGCTTCTATCGTAGGATGTGCTTTTGCCACAAGTAAATCAACAACAGTCAAAACACACGCAAACACACATACTCTCGTTTTTGTCGATACAAAAGCCAAATTCAGTCATTTAACGATTTATTTTACGCGTAAGTTCTTTTCCGATTTTCTTGTGTAACCTTTTTTGTAACCCAATCGAAAAAAAAAATTTATATCAAAGGCATAACCCAACAGGTAATCACAAAATCTTAGTCGTTGGAATGTTTGTGAAAATATTTACGAAGCAGAGCAACAGCAGTGCCGTCGTCGTTGCCATCACCATTGCTTTGGTGCTTTCTGCATATGCACATCCTGTTGATCATTTTTGGGTCTATCTATTGGGTTGTATTGATGAGAAAAACGCTTTGCCATATGCCTATACATATATTCAACCAAATACCATCGTCTATTCCCTCAAACTCTTTCAATGTGGCTCGATGGCATGCGTCGAGCACTGAATCCCTAACCGTAAATAATTTCTAAATCTAGTACCCAAGAGCAAACTTCAAATATTCATTTCATTATACCACCAACTGTAACTGTGTAATCTCATTTCACGGGAATTTCGCTTCGTTTTCTGTATGGGTGTGTGTGTGTGTGTGTGTGTGTGTGTGTGTGTGTGTCTGTGAAAGCGGAACGACCTGAAGGCATTTGATTTGCCTACTTTTAGCTCCGCGCGCATTCATTGTTCATCGGAAATACGTTCATGTGTATGTGTAGATGTGGGTAGGTATATATATATATATATATATATATATATATATACAGTTACTCACAAAATTGTTCGTACACCTTGCTTTTCCGAACAAAATGCCATTTTTTCATTAATTTTCGTGACAAATGAATTGTATGAGCACATGATTGTAAAAGACTAACTCTGTTAGCAGATATTCATGTATATATTTGACATAAATATTGAACACATAAAAAAATTGGGACCAAATATGTGGAAGTGTCGCT